GGGCCTGTTGAAACACAGACTGCTGGAGAAGATATTTACAAATAGCATAGCATCCAAAGGGCGAGTATCCAAAATCTATGAGGAATTTATCAAACTCAACACCAAAAAATAAAAATAAAAAAAAATAAAATAATGACAATAACCCAGCGAAGAAATGGGCAAAGGACGTGAATAGACAGTTTTCCAAAGAAGACATCCAGATGGCTAACAGACTCATGAAAAAAACGCTCGCCATCACCCATCATCAGGGAAATACAAATCCAAACCACAATGAGATACCACCTCATACCTGTCAGAATGGCTAAAATTAACAACTCAAGCAACAGATAGACGTTGGCATGGATGCAGAGAAAGAGGAACCCTTTTGCACTGTTGGTGGGAATGCAAACTGGTGCAGCCACCCTGGAAAACAGTATGGAGGCTCCTCAAAAAATTAAAAATAGGATTACCCTACGACCCAGCAATTGTGTTACTTGGTACTTATCCAAAGGATACAAAAATGCTGATTCGAAGAGACACATGCACCCCCATGTTTATAGCAGCGCTATCGACAATAGCCCAAGTATGGAAAGAGCCCAAATGTCCACCAACTGATGAATGGATAAAGAATACACGGTATAAATATGCAATGGAGTGTTACTTGGCAATGAAAAAGAATGGAATCCTACCATTTGCAACAATGTGGAGAGAACGAGACTGTATTATGCTAAGTGAAACGAGTCACTCAGGGAAAGGCAAAATCACATGCTTTCACTCATATGTGGAATTTAAGAAACACAACAGATGAACGTAGCAGAAGGGAAGGAAAAATAAGATAAAAACAGAGAAGGCGACAAACCATAAGAGACTCTTAAATACATGGGGCGCCTGGGCACCCATCGGTTAAGCCTCCGACTCTTGGTTTCAGCCCAGGTCATGAGTTCGAGCCCCTCAATGAGCTCCAATCCCTGCTTGGGATTCTCCTTCTCCTTCTATCGCTATCTTCTATCTCTGCCTCTCCCGCATTCGATCTCTCTGTCTCCAATAAATAAATAAATAAACAAACAAACTTAAAAAAAGAGACTCTTAAATACAGAATACAAACTGAGGGTTGCTGGTGGGGTATTGGGTAGGGGGATGGGGCTAAACGGACAAGGGGCATTCAGGAGGGCACTTGTTGGGATGAGCCCAGGGAATCGCTAAATTCTATTCCTGAAATCATTATTACACTCTCTGTTAACTAACTTGGATTTAAATAAAAAATAAGTTTAAAAACTCCGGAGATTAAAAAAAAAAAACATGCAAAAGAGAAAAAAGCTAAAACACAGATTGCTGGGCCCCCACGTGTCTGATTCATTGGGTCTGGGGTGGGGCCAGAGGATTTGCATTTCTCACAAGTTTCCAGGCGGTGCTGAGGCTGCGGGTTCTAGAACCACACTTTGAAAACTCAGTTCTCGAAAGTCCTCAGATTATTGAGCACATGTTGCCGAGAGCCGCAGAAATCCATAGTGCAAATGAATCGTACGTGTGCGCGCTGAGATACATAACCTCATAAATATTTTACGTGGCGATCCATCCTGAGTGTTGATTTCTAGTGGTCTAGAAATGGACCTTCCTGTATGATTCTCATGGGCAGCCACTGTGGAGAACCACTGCTGTAGACGATTGATTGATTGATTGACTTACTGATTTTCTTCCATCCCTTTCCCCTAAGGGTTTTAAGCGGTAGTATGCAGAAGCTCGTGAGTTATCCTGCATTCTGGGTACGACATATGAGTCATCTGAAACCTTAACTCCCAGACAGAGACGATGCAAGTGACTGTAAGCCCTTCACTCTATTGCACCTTCGTTTTCCAACCATTTCCAGGCCCCGCCTGTCCCCTGTTCTGGGCAGACCTCTCTGGCCTTACAGCTTAGAGATACCAGGGCTGGAATCCCAGTGTGCAAGAGTGAACATCTTGATAACGTAGGCCAGTGTGGGTGTAGCTTCCTCTTACTTAGAGCCGAAAGCAGCCCAGCTTATGCAACGTCTCGGGGGATCCCAGAAACTGCTGAGGGCTTTGAAGCGAGTTGCCGGGGGCTTCACCGAGAAGGGTATTCCGGAGCGGACATTAGGAACCTGTTCCACACAGGAGAATCATACAGGAAGGTTTAAAAGGGTACTGTCGTCTGAGCCCTGCTCAGAAGCGTCTGGTCTGGTGGGTCCGGGAGGAGGCGCAGACATAGGTGTTTTTCAAAATCTCCCAGGTTTCTTTAGTGGTAATTTTTGACGGGGTGAGAATGATTATTCCAGCATATTATAAATCAGAGCAGCTGCCCTAAGCTTGAAGGACGCCGGTTGCCAGCCGTGAGGAATTACCTAAGGGCAAAGTGGTAGGAGAAGGTGATGCTAAAAACAAAACTAAGCTTCCGTCCAGCCCACGGCCTCCTCCCCTCCCTTTGGTAACCACAATCTCAGAGCAAATTGCATGCCCAACACACACACACACACACACACACACACACACACTTGCTTTCTGTCCTTGTGCAACTTTCTTTCTCCTTCAAGGTTGCCTTGATGTTTAATCGAGCCCGAATGCCAGCTGGTGTATGGGCCATAGGTGGGACAAGGCGTGGGATTTCTAGTGGGATTTCTTTTTTCCCTAGCTCCACTTTCCTCTAGGAAAGTGGTTCTTCACCTTGGTGTGGATAGGAACCACGTGGAAAACTTTTAACTGTAGATACCTGTGCACCCCGCGTGAGGTTGTGATTTGGTACCTTCTGGAGTGGAGGCCAGGAGTCTGCATTTTAACAAGCTAAGAGATCATTGGTCTACAACCACAATTTAAGGAAACTTCCTTACGGTCAACCCCGAAGAAGATGGAAAATGGGAAATACTGTGCACTTCGGAGACACCCAGAAGGCTCAACAGATTTGAACAGTTAAATCACCTAACAAGGGGGCGCCTGGGTGGCTCAGTCAGTTAAGCGTCCGACTTCAGCTCAGGTCATGATCTCGCGGTCTGTGAGTTCAGGCCCCGCGTCCGGCTCTGTGCTGACGGCTCAGAGCCTGGAGCCTGTTTCAGATTCTGTGTCTCCCTCTCTCTCTGACCCTCCCCCGTTCATGGTCTGTCTCTCTCTGTCTCAAAAATAAATAAACGTTAAAAACAATTTTTTAAAAAGAAAAAAAAATAAATCACCTAACAAGGCATACAGTGCTGATAAACACATGACAAAATGCTCAAAATCCTTAGTCATTAGGGACATGCCAATCAAGACCCCACTGAAATACCTCTAGATGCCTATGACCCAATTAAAATGGTTAAAAAAAAAGAAAGAAAGAAATGGCAGTTTTCTGGGAGAAATGCACAATGACTCAGCTGCTTTATAAATCAGATAGTTTCTTATAAACTTAAACATACACTTGCCTTATGGTCCAGCAACCCCACTCCTAGGTATTTGCCCAAATGAAATAAAAATGTGTTCACACAGGGGCACCTGGGTGGCTCAGTCGGTTGAGTGTCCGGCTTCAGCTCAGGTCATGATATTGAAATTTGTGAGTTCGAGCCCCCCGTCGGGCTCTGTGCTGACAGCTCAGAGCCCGGAACCTGCTTCGGAT